TATTTTTTAATCGGAACAGTATTTTTCTCTCGTAACAAATCAGCTGAAACAATGTTTTGATTTGTTTTTTCAACGAAGCGAAAGAACCTGGGTGCTACTTCTTTCCTGGACGTTTGGCCCGTGAGCAAAGCAACTTTGTGAGGATTCAAATTTTTTTATTCGTTATGAGCCTATGCAAATATATGAGTCGACTCTTCTATGTGTCCTCTACGATTCGACTTACTAGCGGTAGAATCGACTCAAGCTGGCACCACGTAAGACCATGACTCATTTTTAAAGGCTCACTGGAGAAGCCCTTGCATCACCACGTAGGCAGCCAAGCAACTAGCCGCCGCCCTAGACAACCCTCGTCCGTCCAACGATTGCAATTGGCAGTGGCGGCGAATGAGGTCAGGTTTCGGTTTTTTATGCTTTTAGTCCAAAACTTGAAATTATTAGAGCATCTTTAGTAGATAACTTAATCTTATCTCTAATACTAAAAATATGTATATATTCGTCTTGTTCGCTTGAACTGTTTATCAGCCATGGTACACTATTTTTCTTTCACAACAAATCAGCATTAGTCGGCTTATCAAATTTAACGGCTCCATTAATCAGTCTGTTTGCTTGTTGGTTTCAGCCAGAGCTTATCAGGCATGGTATAGTATTTTTCTTTCGCAACAAATCAACACCAGTCGAACTTATCAGCCCAGAAACCAACCATTGAACAGGCCGATTGTGATTACTTGTCATATCACCGATATCTAAAAGTTTCATCTCCCTCAAATGTGGGAGATTCATCCAATCTCCTATCCACTTTAAAGGTATTGATAATATGTTAGAGGAGAGGAAAAAAGTTACACTACAAAATAGTATGAGATCATCTATTTAGACTTTTATAGGAGATACAAAATGTGATAAGTAGTCTACTAGAAATGCTATTGCAGCACGTGTTTTCCCCTGCTATAATTTTTGGTGGGTTGAAAGAAAAAATGGCTTAGAACAAACTTAGAACGTGGACCAGGTCGAAGATCCGGTCAACGCTTCCGGCGCTAGAGCCATGGTATGCCCGATCCACATGCCACGGATCGAGTTCATCGCCGCAAGGCCCCACATCAACCGCGCCATTGGCCTCGCCACCGTCTTGGTGTCGGGTTTAGGGTTTTAAGGTTTAGCATTTTGGGTCGACAAGCTCGTCGCCCCGTGCTCCCTCGCTGACCATGGGGTCACACTCAATGAGCTCAAGGCACCCCCACTAGCAACCTTGACGCTGAGCTCCTAGTCGTCACCCTTGGTATTCTCAAGGTTGAGTTCCACCGCCTCCTGGAGCTCCATGGACTAACACGGTGGGCAACTCGACTAATGGCAAGGCAAGCAACCTCGCAATCCAACATCTCCGTGTTGATGGTCACTGGAGTTGCCGCCAAAATCTAGGAGATAGAGGACAAAGGAGAAGACTGGTGACAGAGATAGGTGAGGGGTGAATGGTGAGAAAGGAAGATAGGGTCGGAGTTGACCCTTGTATACAACAATAAAATTGGTAAGGGGTAAGGTTACCTATTTAGAAGAAGGGGTAAGTATATTAGTTGTTATATGTGCAGGCAACCAAACACATGAAAATGCATTCTTTTATACAGTTCAGATCTGGCGAAAACAAAATACATACATGCATAACAGTATATCATCTTATCTAGGCAAACTAATAAACATCACTAGAATAGTAAAATACATACATAACCTTGTGCAATGCAATTTCAACAAGACCGAATTGTTCGTCCGTGCTTCCTACTCACACGAGCTCCGTCCGCTCGTCCAACTTCTAAACGAAAACTATTACTATTTGGCCCACCAGGCCACACATGACACACCCAGGCCCAACGCGAAGAGCCCAAGCAGTCGCACCGCTTATATCAAGCTCGTACTCTCTCACCGCTGTTAGATTTAATGTGGGCCAAGCCCATATATTATCTAATTAAATCAAATAAATTTCAAGACACGTGTTAAATATTATGTGCAATGTTATTAGTCCCATACGGGATATTGACTAAATATTGACTCAACTTATACGTGCAGACTGTGTCTGGCTACAATGAGAAAGTTGAGAAAAGGCGTGGCGTGACATGTCATGACTGAGCCCGAGCCTGACGCAGAAATGATGCATGCATAAATTGGTTTTGCCATTCAAATCAATTATGGCCCGTTCGGCTTACCTTATAATCCGCACTATTCAACTTTTTTTTTAGCCGGAACAGTGTTTTTCTTTCGCAACAATTCAGCCAGAACAGTATTTTTCAGCCAGTTTCAGCCAAGTTTCATCAAGCCGAACAAGGCCTATGAGTAGTTACAGTTTGCCATTCAAACCAATTATGAGCAGGAGTTATAGGGGAGCTCGTAAGCTCTCCTAATGAGGAAAGTTACGAGGTACTAGAGTTTCTGCACCCAAAGTGAAAATTGATAACTCCTTGTGACATGAGTTTCTAGAGTTTCTGCACCCAAAGTGGAGAGCTCGTAAGTTACTCCCATAATGAGGAGTTTCTGTAATTTTTGCACCCAAAGTGGAAATTGATAACTCCTCGTGATGGGAGTTTCTGGAGTTTCTGCCCTAATGAGGAGTTTTTTTTAAATTTCTGCACCAAAAGTGGAAATTGATAACTGAGTTTCTGGAATTTCTGCACCCAAAGTGGAAATTGATAACTCCTCGTGACGAGAGTTTCTGCCCCTAATAAGAGTTTCTGCACCCAAAAAAGTGGAGAGCTCGTAAGTTATGGGAGTTTCTGCCCCTAATAAGGAAAGTTATGAGGTAATGACGGGAATGAGGAAAGTTATGAGGTAATGACGAGAGTTTCTTCTCCACCCAAAGTGGAGAGCTGGTAGGTTACGGGAGTTTCTACCCCTAATGAGAAAAGTTATGAGGTAATGACGGAAACACTACAAGAAACACCCCCATGTAGATACGTCTTCTTTGCTACGTTTTCGAAAGCATGTCTACATCTTAAGTAGTTTCAGTACTAGATAGGTTTGTTGACTACTAAAAACGTAGCTACTTCTCAAAAGGTTCCATGACTAGACACGATTATTGGCACGTTTTTAAAATAACATATCCACGTCTGTCTCTAAACACGATTCTTAACACGGTTGAAAAACGATAATAAAGCCTTCTTTTGTTCCGTAGTTGGATAACCTCATCATCTTCTTCAAAAAGCAATGCTGTTTGGTACTTATAACACTATTGGAAAGCGCAAAATCCCTTACGGTGCAATTACCGTCAGAAAATAGAAAATACAAATTTAAATTTAATTTCTCTGACGGTGCACCGTCAGGGAATAACCGTGAGAGCTAGCTCGATAGGGAAATACTAAAATGTCTGACGGTGCCCTGTCAGGGAAATTGATTCTGATTTTCCAGTCGGTTCCAAATCCTCAGGCCAAATATAAACCGTCAGGGATAAAGGTTATGTTCTGTCGGCCCGCCACCGATAGAAAAATCGTACATCACCGACAGGGTAATTATTTAACCCGACGGTAAGCAACCGACAGAATAAAAGGGTAATTATCCTGTTGGTTGAGTAACTGTAAAAAGAACTGCACTTTTCCTGTCGGTATCGATTTTTCCCTGTCGACTTACAATAGTCAAGAAAATATTTTCCCTATCAGTGTTAAACCGCCAAGGAAATTCCGACCCACAGGAAAATAATATACATATAATGAATGCAATAGCATTTTCTATACAATTCAAAAAACAATATGTTTAATATCATTTGCACAGAATCCAATACACAATTATTTTTATATATAACATGAATCCAATACATACAAATATGTCATGCATCAACATACCGAAATACATAATACATCCAAACATTTGACACCCATCTACCTAAAACAACCTCTCTAAATATTTGGCATCAACATAACAAGCTCTTGCACAACCATGAGTACTAGCTAAACATTTACTAGCAGCAGAGTACTGGCGGCAGCTTCGCCACTGTCGCTGCAAATTACAACGGCGAGAACCGCTTTAAAGAGAAGTGAACACGCCAAAACAGTGGCTCATACACAAAACAGTGACACCGATCCACACTCTGACCTTTAAATTTATGTTCTTCTTTTTCTGTTATTTTGTCTACCCTCTTTGTCCGGCACCGACGCTCAATCTAATTTTATCTGATTTTGAAGCATGCATGCATGCGAATTCAATCGCACTTACCCACTATATATCATCTTCCTCCAACATACCAACACAACCGGCCAGTCCAATAGCATAGTCCTGTTCGTCTTCCTCCAGGTACATCATGTACTCGCCGAGATCAGCGGCCATGAAACTGGGCGGTGGGTACATCCTCGCAACCCTAGCGTAGCGCTTCATCCATTCCGTGTCCGGGCTGTACTTGTGCAGCTTCCCGGCCAGGCGGTACTCCTCCTCGACATCCTCCTCCGTCATGGCGATGTACCGCAGCGCGTCCTCGTACACCGCGCTCAGGAACCTCTGCGCCGCCGTCCTCTCCTCGGGCGTCATCTTCCGGTGGAGACGAACGGTGCCACTGCTGGTACCAGCACCCCTCGCGTCGCCGGCGGCGGCGGGCTTCGCCATGGTTCGATCTCCTTGGGCCTTGCAGCGTGGATTGGCCAACCGATCCGCTACGCCACGTGTTTCCAATTCCAAATCCAAACAAAAAAAAAAGATCTTCGGAAAACTACTCGTGGTGGCACGGTGCACATATGTAGGGAGAGACGTGACCGTGTGCGCAGTGCGCTGCGCCCTGTTCGGACTCGAATCGCGCGTCCGTGCTCCTTCCTACGCGGACTCGTCCATCCTCGAGCCGGAAAGGATCTACTCGTGGATCTATTCGGCCCACCAGGCCACACACGCCCAGGCCCAAGCCCAACTGAAACAGCCCAAGCAGCGGCACCAGCTCGCAGTCTCCCACTATTCGAAGCAGCAGTCGAGAACCCCGGATCCACCGCCGCCGCCGCCGCGTCTAAACCCTCCACCGCCGCGGTGCGTCAGAGGCAGAGGCAGCCATGGGGAGCCGCCTCGGGCGCCGCGTGATCCACTTCGCCAACCTCCCGCTGAAGCTCATGCTGCCCCCCGCGCCGCTCTCCTCCGTGCAGGAGTTCGCCGTGCGGACCGTCCCCTCCGCCTCCAAGGTGGACATCCGGCGCTGCCTCGAGTCCATGTACGGCTTCTCCGTCGCCGAGGTCCGCACGCTCAACATGGAGGGCAAGAAACTCCGCCGGGGCCCCTTCCTCGCCGCCAAGCCCGACTACAAGAAGGCCTACGTCACGCTCCGCGCCCCGCTCGCGGTCTCGCGCGACCTGTTCCCCATCGGGGCCATCCTCGCGGAGCGGGAGCGCAAGGCCAGCGCCGCCGCCGCGAGGAGGAAGGCGGTGGAGGGCGCCGAGGTGGAGGGGGAGGGCAAGGGGAAGCACTGGATGGAGGACGAGAGGGAAGGCTTCTCCAGGGCAGGATGCGGCAAGGTCGTGTACGGGAACCCTGGGAGGCTGGGGAGGAAGAGGAGGGGTGGGGGCAAGGTGAAGGAGCAAGCCGGGGACGACGGGGCCAGGTTTCCCTGGACCGAGATGCGCCTGGCTACCGAGAAACCGAGGTGAGGATCCCTGCACCTCTCCACTATCATCAGTGATTATTAACAAAATGTTTGTGTGCCTAGAAATCTAGAGTCTTATTAGGCCCTGTTTGGACGTTATGGAAATATATATACTCCTGCAAAGTGTTTACACTTGTATTTTGATGTGCACAAGAAAACCAGTTGACGATTAACCACTTGTAGACTTTTGTTCAGAAGTACAGTATATCAGACTAGTTCCAAATGTTTGAGTGAATAATAGAATCAGAAATGCAAATCAGACAAATGGAGATCTGAATTAGCATATCATCCTAGCAACTTAATATAGAGAAATAGTAATTGTCTTAAGCTCACATAGAAGGACATAATTAAAATTTGTAATTGACTCATCAATGGTATAAAACTCAAACATATTAGTCTATCCATGATCACTTCAGCTAGTTTTTCACTTTGTACTCCTAGGCCAATAGATGCTTCAGCCTTGCAAGATCTTGACTTGGTTTGCTGTTTGCTGCCACTAACCTGCAATGTAGAGTAATATAATTGAGTGAGAAGTATTGTTACAAACTACAAAGAAATAAACACTTTTTATCACGGTATCATGAAACCTAAAAGATTGCTTGATTTGCTATTTTGTACATCGGCATGAGCTGTTCTCTCATGGCTAAATGCGCCATAATTCAGAGAGCTTAAGATATTGTAATAGTAATACAGAGACAAGAGATTGCTTCCATTCCAGAACATGTAAATGATGTGCTTGTTGATAATTAGTGAAAATACAGGTCCAAATAAATATGCAAGGTATTAACTGGTCTTTTTAGACTAGACAATGAAATTGTCAACAAATAATAGTTTAAGGCACATAACGAAAATGATTAAACAGAAAGCAAACAATAGTGTACTGCAAGGTATCAACTGGATTGCACTAGTTTTTGTAGATAATGAAGTTAAGAAACAAAATAAAAATCAACCTAGATACTAATCAGAAGCACAATAGGGTGATGTTAATCTTAAAACCACAACTTACTTGTGATTGGGTTCCAAGCTTGTTCACTTCTTTCGTCAGCCCCAAACGACAAGAATCCCTAACTGGGTAGAAACTACATGAGCTAGCCACTGTCCATGCAGTCATCAGCGATGCAGCAGAGCTATGACCTGAATAAAATTCAGTGATTGGAAGGTTGGAAGCCATCAATACTTGCATAACACACAAACGGCATAATAGCGCATCCGACGTTAACGGTGAATCAGAACCTTGACTTGCTTGCCGCCACAGACTTTGGTCAGAGTTTCCAGACTCTGAGCAATCACAAGGTGGTGGTCAGGGTTAGATGCAGACCCAACCCCAGGCATGGAAAGCTTGGAGAACTGGGCTGGGCAGGTAGCACCAGTTTTTGAATGGTGACGCTGGTGTGCTTTGTTGTATACAGAGCTTACAATGGTATCTCTGCTAGATGTGCATTTTCGTAACTCCTTTGGATTTGAAATGGCTACTTGGTGACATGTGATGGTCTCATGATACCATGCTGAGTTGCCCACGATTTGTTTTGTGAGCAACTGCCTTTGGTGAGAGCATCTTCTTGTTAGTTCGCATGAGTGATGGTGACACTTGAGTTTTACATCCTAAATGGCATCTACCTATTATAGTTTTGCTGGCCCTATGTTGAGTCTTACCACTTGTGACGGAAGGTCCCGGTTGATGGTCTCTCATGATGCCGAGGTAAAGGCTTACATGACACCTTTGGACTTTGCAGCGGAGCAACTGGTACGCCCTTTTTTTAAAGAAGCGTGGCCCTATGTTCTTGCAAAGAAGAGGCGGGCCTGGTGCAAGTGGTAGAGTGATGGTGACGGAAGGTTCGGGTTGAGTTGCAATTCCTCGCATCCTAAATGGCATCTACGACTATTATAGTTCTGCAGAAAGAGCGTGGCCCTATGCACGCCCCCTTTAAAGAACGTGGCCCTATGTTGGGCCAGGCTTGAGCTTGACTTGACATGTAGCGGGGTTAGTTTGCTGGAACCATACGATTTATGCCTTCATATGCTGCAGAGTTTAGCCTTATGTTATTGCTGGATTTTTCACCACCCTGGCATGATGATTGTCTAATATTAAGATTTAGTCCAAAATTCTACAGGTAAGTGTAGCTCTTGGTTAGAATTGTGTGATAACGGAACTTGTGTTTTCGTAGTTTGCATATTGTGGTAATTTCCCAGGCACAAACATTAGTTTCTTGCTTCCGAATAGTTGGACAAAATTCAATGCACCTAGTAGATAAGACCCAGGTGCCAGTGGCACCATTTCACTGCTCTGACAACATGGGTAGAATTTCTGGTTTCTTGCAGCTGCGTTGGTTTGTTGTTGTGGTCCTGATATTGACATCGTAGGAGAGAATAATGTTTGATACTCAGCAAGAGAGCACTTTTACATTTGTATTGGTGCATACATGATCAGTTGCATCCGTAGTGAATGTCAGAAGGAATGGGTGAATGGCAGGCATCATCTGAGGCTTGAGTGTGTTGTACTTATGGAATTAAAGAGAATACAAATTGCATGGACTTCTACTCAAAGTTTTATTGGTCTGATTGGTTAAATTATTTGCTTTCGTTGAACAAAAGGCAATGTATATGTATGTCTTGCTCATATGCTGTATTCTGATTCATTTTCGGTACTATTCTTTTTATTAGGAGGGTGAGACACTCTCCACCGAAGAAGGGAATAGCCTTGAAGCAGAAATCACGGAAGGTATCCCTGCAGCACCGCTCAAAGAAGTTGAAAGCTTGATAGTACTTGACTTGAGCTGCTGCACCGAACCATTAGAGGATCCTGCCATCAAGCGGGGATGCAGACCGTGGATCCTTGAGTTCGCTGGTAGATCCATCTTGTTTTTAAATTACCAAATAAACACCGAACGTCGAAGAATCTGTAAGGATTTTGTGCATTTGATATGAAATCCAGTTGGGATTTAGAAGGCTGCATCGGGCATGTGTGCTGAAGGACCAGACCTCGAAGGATTCGTGGGCGCTTCCTATCCTGTCCCTTCGTTTGAATTGATTGATTGTGCCCTTTGCTGTCCAAGTTCCCTTTGAGAATTGAGATTTGTCTAGTCATCTACTGACTACTGGCTATGCAGATTAGAGACAATGTAAACCTGTTTTTTTCACTTGATGTCCTACTTTTTTTTTACCTCTTCCAATGATCCTTTTACAAATACAAGTCCATTTGGTTTGTTCTAAGTCAAACCGTTTTTTAGCTGTGGCTAGCAATTTCTAAAATGTGTAAAGATTGATATTGATAGTTTATATGAGTTTCGTTTTGAAAAATATTTTAGAGAATAGTTAATTGCTCTCGCCCTTGGTCCTACAAAAGAAAATCCTCTCGCCTGTTCTGTTGCAGTCTTGCAGAGCGTCGGTTGGCACTAATTAATCGTTTGCCATTGTTGCTTGCGTTCGGACTGAAAATGCCTCCATGCAGTGATACAGGAAGACAAATTTACGCGTGGAAGGAAAAAAAAAAAACAAATCAAAGGTTGATTGTTGGGCTGGCACCCTTGTGGCCTAGCTTGTGTGTATTTTTGTTTTCAAATAAGAAAGGAATGAAAATATGTGTGATATAATCAAAATTTAGAGATATACTCCACTATACTGTAACTTGCATTACGTTGCCTGAAATCTAATTAATTTCAATTTGCTTACCTAGTACGGTACCACCCCTTTATATTAGGATTTAGCACAATGCGGCTTCTCATACTCCTAGCCATGCAAATTTGAAAGAATAAATTATTTAAGGTGTTCAGAGGACACATGCATGGCAGGCCACAATATTTATATATGGGTTGCTTGCCCTGCAAATAGTTCATGCAGAAATTCGAAGTATAGTTACTTTTAAAGTTTGGAAGCCTTGGCGACAACACCTGCAACGACGCTTGTTGCTGGCTCTTTTCGGCAGGATTTATTGTGGCTTGCGGCTAATTTGTATGGCTGATTTATTGTGAGAAAAAAATATTATTATATGATTGAAAAAGTAGAACTGATTCTAGCTTATAAGCTCAAACGAACAGAGCCGATGGTATGAGCTGGACAAAGCATGTACGGTGTACTATGCGCGATTGTCGAATTTCTGAACCCCGAAACTAATGTAAAACAACACTGTAAACTTTTGTACTTGTCACGTCACAATGCAATGGACAGGGGGCGCGTCCCTGCTATTGTAAAAAGTAATTGGTATCTGTAGAGAAATTAGGACATTTTGCCTCGTTCGACCGGTAGAATTTTAGTTGAAATTGGCTGAAAAACACTGTTCTTGCTGAATTATCGTGAGAGAAAAATACTATTCTAGCTAAAAAAGAAGCCAAATAAGTTGAATATGGGGTAAGCTAAACGGGTCTGACGAAGAATAGATTCAACTGTAGCAAATGTACCATAGCTCGGCTGTGAAGATTACTATGTAAAACCTGAGTGCACTTGACATATCCCCCCCCCCCCACACGCACCCCAAAAAAAAAGGGCACTTAACATATGTGCCTTTAAAAAAAAAGTATTCCATGATTTAACGGAATCATTCTTTCAGACATACTTGTGGACAGTAACACATTAAGACGCTTATGTCGACGAATTCGTCAATCTCAATTCCTTTTAGCCCTGGCTATCGGCTATGCTCGTATGAGTAGGATATATAAGTGTGCTTTAAAGAGGTAAGGACACGTATACGTATGTGTATATGTGTGTCTGCAATTTAAAAACAAGAAAATTTTATTGTTTTTTTCTAGAACGGGAGCCAGACACCTATAGGAGGAAAGTAAAACAAAATAAAATCTATCTATATCAAAGGAGGAAAAAAACTCATGTGTCCATGGCCTAGGTGGTGTTTTACATCCAGGGACAGAGCATCATGCCATATCTTTAGGATGTGTTTGGTAGGGATTCATATTCTCTTAGAAATGTTTCAGTTATATATATTTTTGCAAACATTTCTCTGCTGAATTAGAACCACTTTGCCTAGCTCGCTAAATTCTTGAAACTAGTATAGAACTAGAATTAGGAGAAAACTGTTTTTTTTTTGTGTTTCTATGGACTAGTAAAAAAACAAGAATCAACTTCAAGTGATTCTCCCTTAGGGCCCGTTCGGTTACAGTAGAAATAGCCCAGGAATTAATCACACTCATGAAGTATATATAATTTTAGGAAAAAGTCTAGATCACCCCCTCACCTATAACAGGAGTCTACTTCACCCCCAAACTATGAAACCGTCTGTTTTACCCCCTAAACTTTTCAAAACCGTCTATTTTACCCCCTGGGCGGTTTTCAGCGGCGGTTTTGATACAGTAACAGCTGGTTTGCTACAGTAATGGTGGGTTTGAATTTTTTGATTTTCGGTGAATTTTTGAAAAATCATAGTAAATCATGGAAAAATCATAAAATAAAAAATCTAATTTTGTTGGACTCCACATGAGTAGATCTACATAGTGAATATATAATACGGTATGCTTTAGTACAAAATTTTTACTGTAGCCTTAGATTAATTGGAAAATCTAATTTTGTCTGTAATTAATTGGAATAATTCATAGCTGCAGCTTCTATGGTCCAATTGTGGTGAAATTTTTATGGTACGCTAATTATTGTATGCTTGAACTATAGTAAAAATTTCGTACTCATTGGACTATGTATAACTTAGTTATAGATAAATTCTAATTAATTATAGACAAAATTGGATTTTTCAATTAATCTAAAGCTACAAAAAAAATTGTACTAAAGCATACCGTATTATATATTCACTGTGTTGATCTACTCATGTGGAGTCCAATAAAATTAGATTTTTCATTTTATGATTTTTCTATGATTTACTATGATTTTTAAAAAATGCACCGAAAATAAATAAAAAAAAGGAAATTCAAACCCACCGGCACTGTAGCAAACCGTTGTTACTGTAGCAACCATGCTGTTACTGTCGCAAAACCGCCGCTGAAAACCGCACAGGGGGTAAAATAGACGGTTTTGGAAAGTTCAGGGGGTAAAACAGACGGTTTCATAGTTTGGGGGTGAAGTAGACTCCTTGTTATAGGTGAGGGGGTGATCTAGACTTTTTCTATAATTTTAACTAGCATTCCGGCCAAGATTTTTTTTTCCAGGTGGTCATTCCTGGTGTAACGAACGGGCCCTTAAACGTTTATCTCTCTGTGGAGTTCGGCAACGATTCTACCGAGAATTTGAAACATTTCTCGTCGCCAAACGGACCCTTAACCGTGCCGAAGACGCAGCAGTGACCACTCGCCAATCACCATTGAGATAAATGGTACCGCTGCGAAGCCCTGTAGCAGTAATGGGATTACGGCCCGACCCGAGTGGGGCACACAACAGCGAACCTGACTCATCATCAGACCGGCCGTCAAGCAACACACCTGCGTGCGCGACGTACAACTGTCGGCGCTCGATCGCTGCCTGCCGCCTGCTGTTTGCCCGACGAACGAAGCAAGGAGTAGCACGTACGGGCCACATGCCACAGCGCCCGGCCGGCCTCACCACGTGCAAGCATGCGCGGCGGCAGCGAGCGCCGAGCGAGCGCGCACGGGGGGACCGGGACCCCGACCGAGGCCCCGGCCCCTACCTATCGCTCGATCGTCCGGCCGCCGTCCCGTCCGGTCGCGGCGTAGGCGCGCGCATGCCATCGCCAGCTCGCGCATGGCGCTTGCGTTGCGTGAGCATGGCATTGTATACCAACCAGCCTCGCTAATAGCCCTAGCACAATGGGAGCGGTGATGCATGCATGCATGGCGATCGATCGGTTTGTTTCCGATCGGCGCGGCCTAGCTACACTGCGCGTACTACACCACACTAGGAGTGGCCAGTGGCCAGTGGGCAGTGCTGCTTGGTAGGAACAGGCCGGGACTGGGCAGATCTGGAACAGACGGTGGCTGTCGCTGGTGTTGCGCAAAGGCAGGGTATGATTGTACCGTCCGTCTCATCATCTGACGCCGCAGCTAAGCTTAGCTATCTCTGTGCTCCCCGGCCTGGCTGGCGCTGCCTAGCTTCTATAGCTAAAGTACGTGTTATTGGATCCCTCGATCATGTCGAGTACTAGTACGTTCAAAGCCGGGCCATGGTGCAATGCATGTGGCATGTGCGTGCGTGGTAAATAGTACTCCAAGGATGAAGATGACGAAGCAGAGCCACGCCAGGCAATGACTAATGAGACAGTCAGCATCAGCAGCTATATATATGTGTAAGCTAAAGCATGCATCATGCGTCGTGGCCTCATGACTGACAACAGTACGTGTAGTAGAGAATGGCATGGATAGCAGGGCTAAAATCAACACATGATCGGCCAGTGGTTTAAGGTGATCCGAAAATTAAATTAAGAAAAGGGCCAAGAAGCTAGTCAAACAATTTGTGACGGATTTGGACAATAGTTTTACCGAGCACGAAGCTAAAACTAAAGTCTACCATGATTTCAAATAAGTAGAAATTCACACCCATGGGTATAAGCGCGAAAAACGAAGATAAGGGAGAGAGAAAAATAGATTTGAACCAAGAAATCCATTGACAATAACTACATGGAGTTCGTGCAGATAGGTGGAGCATAAGAGTTCTAGCTAGTTTTACTAAGATTAGTAGTACATGACAAATTGTATATACACCTACACGTAACATATATTAAAGAGCAAAAAATTCTTCCTCCAAATTTTGGTCCATCACACTCTCTTTCCCTGTCCATGTGTCCCTCCACTCTCCGCAGCATATAAGTTGTAACACCCTAGACCCAACACACGGCACAGGCCCACTTTACCA